AATGAACCCTAATGTGAACTATAGTTAATAATAATTTCTTAGTGTTCATTTATCAGTTGTTGTAAGTGCGCCACCCTAGTGTAAGATGTTAATAAGTGAAGCTGTGTAGCGGAGGGATGGGAGTGGGTGGAAAAGGGAGTCTATAGGAGTTCTCTGTATATTCTACTCAATTCTTTGCTCTGAAAAATAAAGTATTAACTTAAAAAGTTAATATAGTATGGCTGTTGGCTCAGTGGTTAGAGTGTCAGCCTGCAGTCCAAAGAAACCCAGGTTTGGTTCTCACAAAGGGCACGTACCTCGGTTGCATTTTGTCCCTGGCCCGGGTTGGGGTTGTGTGGGTGGCAACCACTCGATGTGTCTCTTTCACGTCGATGTTTCTCTCCCTCTCTCCCTCCTGTTATGTCTGAAGATGAATGCAAAAGTGTCCTCGGGTGATGATTGGAAAAAAAAAAAGTTAATGTATTATGTGAAATTAAATGCATATACTTTATATAGATTCATTTACTTTATTAAAATAATAAACCTAAATGTCAATAAAACTATTTTATATGTTTTCCAAGTGTTAAAATAATTTTAGCCCTGGCCAGTTTGGCTCAGCGGTTACAGCATTGGCCTGCGGTCTGGAGAGCCCCGAGTTCAGTTCCCGCTAAGGGCACGTATCTCGGTTGCAGTTTGTCCCCGGCCCCGGTTGGGTGTCCCTTTCACATCAATGTTTCTCTCTCTCTCTCTCTGCCTCCCACTCTATCTGAACAACAACAACAACAAAAATGTCCTCGAGTGAGGATAAAAAAATAATAATAATAATAATTTTACCTGATCTGTGACATTTTTACCCAACATTTTAGTTATCTGAGTAGATTTTTATTTTAACTTCATAGCTTTTTTTGATGGATTGTAAGGTAGAGGTCAGAGTTAGGACAGTGTCGTCTTCTCTTGTTCAAATATTAAGAGTGTTATATTGAATATAAATATATTTATACTAAAAAAAATTAAATGTTTATAATTGAATAAATAAAATTACTTAAGTATTTATTGAAAAATTCTAAAAAACCTTAGACTCTGTTCAGAAAATTCCTTTTCTTTCCTCTGTGGGTTGCTTTTCCACAGTGTTCTCGAGCTGTCATTACCGGATGTGGAAATACCTGCTTTTAAAACAATAGTAAAATTCTTATCAACAGGCTTTGGATCATTTGCTTCCTCCCTAAAAGCACTGTGTGTAGGAGAAGATTATTGACATTTTGAGGCCAAAATCAAATCTAGAGTCGGGGCTTACTGTAAATAGAGAAACAGAGAGGAGAAAATGAGAAGAGGTATATATCTGACTGATTATTTTAAGAAAATAAATAGCAAGACTTTTAGAATCTAGAAGTAATGAAACACATTTTATTGCATCTGTCTAGGGAAAATGTTAATACTTCCTAAAAGGAATGCTACTCTGTAATTTAGTTTCTGAACATATTGTAGGTATAAAGAAAGTATATTTTAGAAATTAAATTAATCCTTTTAAATAGGTCCCATAATCTTAAATGCTTCTTTTTAAATTAAAACAAGATGAGATGATATAAAAGTCTTTGGAACTTTACCTCATCTTTCATAATATGATGATGAATAATATTTCATGTAATATCTAGTACTTTATTTCTCTTTAACTTGCCAAAAATGAAGGTAATTAGGAAAGCTGACTGCGGTTATGTTATATAAAAATACTTTTAAAGAAATTATCAAGTGATGTTTATATGTACAAAATGTACTTTTTTTAGGTGCTAAAACTTGGTTTTGAACTTTTATTTAAAAATATATTTGCAAACATAAAATTTAGGATGAAAAATGCTCATTTGAAAACATGTAATGACTTAATATTTGCAAACATATACAGATGGTTAAAATTCATACCATTAAAAATGATGATGCAGTGTTGCACTCATGCAACAGAAAGAGTCCTGCTGTAATTCCAGACTGTCTTCTCCCTGCCTTGCAGGGAGCGGAGACTGCGGGACACTGAAATTCATGAGAGCCACGTGACCAAAGGAGTAATATGGGATTTAAAAAAAAGCCATTTAGAGTATATTTTAAAAGCATATTTAATTTGCATCTCTCTGATGATTTGTGATGTTGAGCATTTTTTCATATGTCTCTTAGCCATTTGTATGTCCTGTTTGGAGAGGTGTCTATTTAGTTCCTCTGCCCATTTTTAAATTGGGTTCTTTGTCTTCCTTTTGTTGAGTTGTATGAGCACTCTATATATATTGGACATTAACCCCTTATCACCTCACACCTGTCAGAATGGCCGCCATCAACAAATCATCAAACAACAAGTGTTGGCGAGGGTGTGGAGAAAAGGGGACTCCAGTACACTGCTGGTGGGAATGCAGACTGGTGCAGCCACTATGGAAAACAATATGGTGTTACCTCAAAAAATTAAAAATTGAACTTCCATTTGACCCACTGATCCCACTTCTAGGAATATACCCTAAGAAGCCTGAAACACCAATCAGAAAGAATATATGTACCCCCATGTTTGTAGCAGCACTATTTACAATAGTTAAGATCTGGAAACAGCCCACGTGTCCATCAGTAGATGAATGGATAAGAAAGCTTTGGTACATATATACAATGGAGCGCTACGCAGCTGTAAGAAAGAAAGATCTCTTATCCTTTGAGACTACATGGAGGGACCTGGAAAGTGTCATCCTAAGCGAAACAAGCCAAACAGAGAAAGACAAGTATCATATGATCTCACTTATTTGTGGAATATAATGTTATCAGTCTGAGGAATGGGGTAGTCCCAGAGACGTGGAAGGTGGAGTACAGACTGACAGACTCCAGAAGAGGGGGTGGTGGGGGAGAGATAAACTACAGAACTTATATGCATGTGTGCATGAACAATGGACATGGACAACAAAGCTGGGGACAGGGTAGGGAGGGAGGGGAAGGGGGGAATCAGTGGGGGGAAAAGGAGAAACATCTGTAACATTAATAAATAAATAAATGAATGAATGAATGAATGAATGAATGAAAGTAAAAGCATGTTTACGGCCCGGCTGGTGTGGCTCAGTAGTTGAGCATCACCCATGTACCAAGAAGTCACCAGTTCGATTTCCGGTCAGGGCACATGCCCAGGTTGTGGGCCTGATCACCAGTGGGGGCATGCAGGAGGCGGCCAGTCAATGCTCTCTCTCATCGATGTTTCTATCTCTCCCTTCCTCTCTCTCTAAAATCAATAAAGAAAAAAATTAAATTAAAAAAATAAAAACACATTTAAGGAATCACACAGATAAAAGAAAAACACAATTTTGCATTTCCTCACTCTTTTTTCTTTTGTTTCTTTTTTTAAAATTCTCACCTGAGAACATTTTTCCATTTTTTTGTTCAGATAGAGTGGGAGGGAGAGAGAAGAGAGAGAGAGAGAGAGAGAGAGAAACATCGACGTGAACGGGACACATTGAGTGGCTGCCTCCCACACGACCCCAGCCAGGGCCGGGGATGAATTGCAACTGAGGTACATGCTCTTGACTGGAATTGAACCCATAACCCATTGGTCAATGGGCCGACGCTCTAACCATTGAGCAAAACCGACCAGGGCACTCTTTTTTTTTTTAATCCTCACCGGAGGATGTTTTTCTATTTATCTTCAGATAGAGTAGGAGGGAGAGAGGGAAAGAGGGGGAGAAACATTGATGTGAAAGAGACACATCGACCAGTTGCCTTCTGCATGACTCCGACAAGGGCCGGGGACGAACCGCAACCGGGGTATGTGCCCTTGACCGGAATTGAACCCGTGACCCTTTGTTCCACCGGCCGATGTCTAACTGCTGAGCCAAACCAGCCAGGGTGCATTTCCTCACTCTTAGTGAACAACATTGCATCTTAGCACAAATCAAATATGAAACCAAGTGAAACATTGCACACATCTTTCTTGCTGAAAAGCAGGCTCTTTGAGGGCCTAGTGCACTCAGGGAAATGTTCTCAAGGACAACTTTTAAAAAGCCCAGTGTTGCCCTGGCCTTTTTGGCTCAGTGGTCAGAGCATCAGCCCACAGACCAAAGAGTTGCAGGTTCAATTCTGGTCAAGGGCACGTACCTCGGTTGCAATTTAGTCCCTAGTCCTGGTTGGGATCATGTGTGAGGCAACTGATCAATGTGCCTCTCTCACGTCAATGTTTCTCTCTCTCTCCCTTTCCCCCATTCTATCTGAAGATAAAAAAATGGAAAAAAGTATCCTAGGGTGAGGATTAAAAGAAAAAACCCAGTGTTATAGTTGCTTTACTTGGTGCAGATCTTATCATTTTAGACCCCTGAAAACACAGGGCACAAGGTACTTTGAAATATAGGCAAAGAAAACCAGATAGGTAAGAGAAACATGCTCAGCAGCAAGAATGCAGGACACATGTCCCTGTGATTCCTTGTCTTCACAGGGACCCACTTCCTGGGCCCACTTGTGCCTGAGCCACCCCTCATTCCTCTGTGTTTCTGCATTTGCCCAGAGTTACAGTATGATGGCTGATTTTGTTTTTAAGCTGTTGCATTATTAGTAATACAATGGTAGATATGGCCTGTACTACCAAAAGGAGAAAATTTCAAACTACATTCTTTGGAGAGGAGAGTAGTAAAGCTGCATTGTTTAAAAAGATTTACCTAGTAGTGGATTTGATGGGGTTTATGATTTTTACAAGAAAACATAGGCAGAAAAAGAACAAATTCTTGACATGCAAAATTGGGTCAGACATATCCTATACTAAGCCTGTGCATCCTCTGGCAGAGAAGGACCCAGGTCAGCTCAGGCTCTTAACAAAACACCACTCTGATGGTGGCCCAAAAACCTTAGAAGGAAAACTGGACAGTCACCTGCAGATAGCACGAAATGCTTCTCCTGACACTGACAGTCATTTGAAAACTTAGGACTCAAAGTCACACCTTACAAATCTCAGGAGACATGCACATTGATGCAAAGTGTAGTCTTAATTGGAACTGGTTCACTGATGTTCTGTGGTTCATTTCCAGGTCCTTCAGCAGCTTTTAAATCACTGCAGAAAAAACAGAGATAAAGTTCTTCTTTTCTCCTTCTCAACCAAGGTGAGTTGGGTCTGCAGTGTATTCTGATTGACCCAGCCTTAACTCCTGAAGCAGAAAGCCTCCAATACGTAATGGCATCCAGCCCGTTTTTCTGTCTTACACGTACTGTAGGAGATGGTAGTGAGGTAGGTGACTTACAAATCTCCAGTATATCAATTAAATCTCAATTATGTCAAATAGCAAACACAAAGATAGATTTTTAATTTTCTGTTGATGTTTTTGTTGATAATTAAAATATTTTTAAGACATTTAAGATATTTTAAAATGAAATGAATGAAATATATTTACATTAATGACTTGGCCAGTGGTTTCCTTTTTATTTGATTTTAATTTTTTAAATTAAAGATTTTTTTTTTCTTAAAAGATTATTTATTTAAAAGAATGGTTGCTGAAGGTTAACATCAGTTTCAGGATAATGAACTATATGGGTCAGAAATCAGAAAAATATTTGTTGCTCTTATAACTATAAGAAATAAATGGTGAGCATCAATAATTAATACTTAGTACATTTCCTCTCTGTAACGGTCTGAAGCTTGTTAAACCGTGATTTCAGCGTTGCCCCCGTCCGTGCTTTCCCCTAGTTGCTCGACGTGCTGCAGCAGTACTGTATGGCGGCGGGCCTTGATTACCGGCGGCTCGATGGGAGCACCAAGTCAGAGGACAGACTCAAGATCGTCAAGGAGTTCAACAGTACCCAGGATGTTAACATTTGTCTTGTCTCCACAATGTAAGAGAATAAAACTTGATAACTTGATTTTCATCTAATTGCTTTTGAGAGTTAGGGTAATTTTAAAACTATTACTGAAGTTTCAATGATTATGCTCATATTGCTTTGTTTTATTTGGCTTTAAGGAGAAGCAGCAAAAATGCTATTAATTATAACTAAAATAATAGTTTCTTGAGTTTTACCTAGCCTTTTCTCTCAATTCCCTTATCATCACTGAATTCCCCTTTATATGCGTGCATTTATAAAGATAGAATTTTTGAAAGGAATTTTTTATCGTAGTGTTTTGACTCATGTCCATGGTCAGAATGAGACTGAATTAAATAATTGAGTTATTAGTCAAATAATAAAAAATCATTTGTAGCAGTGGTTTGCAGACTGTCCTCACAGAGCCCTAGCGAGTTGCCCCGGGTTGCTTGACCAGGCCTTTCCCTGCTGTGTCTCGACCTAATATCAACCAGAGCAGCTTCACATTTATCAGGTTTGATTCAGGTTAAATCAGTTCTAACACCTGTTTACAAATCTCTAATTCAAACCTTTTAAAGACTATACACACTTTAAAGGAAGAGTTAAGTCAATATAATACCTAAGTAAAATTCACCTTTTGGGGACTAACAAATCCATAACTATTAGCATTTAATGTAGTATTTTATAGATTTGCTCCCATTGTCTTTCAAAAAGAATTTCGGGGGTTTTAAAAATAAACTTATGTAAAACGCAAAAAGTAGGAATAAGTAAAAAATTACTTAAATGAGGAGAAAATGCTATATATGATGAGTGAGCTACTTACTGTTGAGCAGTGGAATTATCCTCGAATTCTTGCAGTGAAGGCAACAGGAGAGAAGGTGTGGATTCCCGAGTTCCCGTGAATGAATTCAGCTCGTAATTTCTCATGGGAGTCCTTACATACAGATCATTAAATGGCATAGAATACTGTCTTCAGTTAACTTTAATTAAAAAAAAATTCTTAATTTTTAAATAATTTTTTTGAAGTAATAAATGCCTTCAGCAGTATAAATAGTACAGAACTTAAGATAAGTAGTCTTCTCTCAGGCAAGTCACCCCCAGTCGAATTTGATGAGATCTGCCATAAAGCTCCTAGTGATCTCTTCAACTTTATTATAAATTTCTATTTAATCCATCCATTGAATCTTTAAAGATTGTATTTTTCATGTTTAGAAGTTATACTTGATATTTTTCAAATCTGCCTGTTTATTTTTTACTTATATTTTGTTCTTCATGGTTTCTAGGCTTTCTTTTATTTCTTTAGTAATTTTAATCTTTTTTTTTTTAAACTCCTTTTGAATGGTGTTTTTGCTCTATTAAATCCCTGTATTTGGAGGTGCTGATACTTCTATTTGATGTTTCCTCTGGCTCTTGCTTATGGTAGATGGTATCTTCACAAATTTTTAAATTTTTTATTTTGAGCTTATCTTCAGAGGGTCTTTTTCCTCTTTGGAAATCCCTTGGTGTAGGAGTTTTCCACTTCTGTGGCTTTGCTTTGACTTCTGCTAAGCATCTCAAGAGATGGGAAGGAAAGAGTTTTAGATTCTTAATTTCTTGTAACTGAATTCAAGAAGTAAATTTATTGCCTAAGTCTTTACCCAGCAAAGAATAGTACCTAACATAATAAATACATTCTTCAGCTGTGTTTTGCAAAAAGCATAAGCTCAGTTTTTGTTTTATTTTTCTAATTTTGCAATAGTTTATATTTAATTTCTGGGTGTTGTAGCAGAAGTATTATCACATTAGCTTATTCCATCATGTTGCCAGAATCCTAAGTCTTCGTTATCTTTTCATATATCAACATTACACAGCTTGGATTCTGTTATGAAAGAGGAGGACTTAATCTTCTTGCACTAGCATCTCCCCACTGTTAACACAGTCTTTATTATTTGTCTATAAATTAATTGTGTACTTTAAATAATGTACTTCAGTTTTTAATGTTTTAGTCCATCTACTTTCTACAGTATCTTCTAAGTGCTTGTAATGGGCAGTATTGGCATCAGCACGCCTCCACCCTTCTACTTTGTTACCTGTTCATAGTTTCTCCTACTAGTTCACCTCCTACCTCATCAGGGGCATTAGGAGTTCCACAGAGTCCTGCAAAAATAACCAGGTCTTTCATACTCTCCCTATAGGTTGGCTCTAAAATTTAGAGGCTAAAGAACAGCATTTACATTATTGTGATTTTGTAAACATTGTTTAATGCTGGACCACAGAGTGCTAGGGTAAGTTCTCTGAATGTTTGTGACCTCTTGGCCAATTCAAGGAGTCTTAACATCAACCTAAAGTGAGTTATCTTTTCTAACACTTCATTCATCATATGGTTACACAGTTCAGTTCACTTCATTTTTTTTTTTTATCCTCACTCGAGGATATTTTTGCATTTATCTTCAGATAGAGTGAGAAGGAAAGAAGGGGAAGAGAGAGAGAGAAACATCGACGTGAGAGAGACACACCGAGGGGTTGCCACCCGCACAACCCCAACTCAGGCTGGGGACAAACTGCAACCGAGGTACGTGCCCTTAGCAGGAACCAAACCTGGGACTCTCTGGTCCACGGGCCGATGCTCTAACCACTGAGCAAAACCGGTCAGGGCTCACTTTATATATTTTTTTTATCTTCACCCGAGGATATTTTTTATGTTTTTGTTGTTGTTGTTGTTCAGATAGAGTGGGAGGGAGAGAGAGAGAGAGAAACATCGACGTGAAACGGACACATCGAGTGGTTGCCACCCGCACAACCCAACCAGAGCTGGGGACAAACTGCAACCAAGGTGTGTGTCCTTAGCGGGAACCGAACCTGGGTCTGTCTGGACCACAGGCCGATGCTCTAACTGCTGAGCCAAACCGGCCAGGGCCTCACTTCATATTTTAATCATAACTTTCTTATTGCTTTTCCCTCAGTGTCTTTTTGCCCTTTATAATAATAATAATAATCTTCAGTTATTAGTAATTCACATTCACACTTTCTCTTTTGTTGACTCCTGTGTGTCCTGAAGAACTTTGTCCTGAAGCTTTGGTCCCCTGGTTGTAATCTGGACTGGTGGTCCTCTAGGCCTGACAAAGAACCTGCCGTGAAGTCCTTCCACTGCTCTCCTGCACTGGACCCACTGTCCCTGAATTTCCTGCCATCTGCATTCTTGGCTCGCCTCCTTGTTTCACTGGAGAATGTCTCCAAGTAACTCTGAGGTCAGGATCATAGAAAGTAAAACGTCTGCATCTTCGAATATCAGAAAATGTCTTTTATGTGCCCTCTCACTTAATTGCTACTTTGGCCAACTATAATAGTTAACAACTAACAATAAAACTTAATTCATTGGAGACATTTTTTTGTGGAATATTACGATGTGGTTAAAATATAATTTTTTATATTCTTATTTGATATAAGAATAGAAGGACCTAAGGAATGAATAGCCTGCATGCTCATTATGGGTCTGTCTTAATTCTAGTCCTCGGTTTAAAGAGGTCTATATTTTATTTTATTGCTTAAGGAATAGGACTTTGCTGTTAGTCATATAACAACAGAGGTACAGATTTTAAAGTTCAGATTTCTGAGTTGCATTATCATGAAACAGAGAATCATCTCATCTCCAGAGATAAAGTTTAGAGATTTTTTTTAAAAGGAGCTTTGTCTCTGCTGTAACTCAGCCAGCCTTCAGTTGTAACTTCAGAGTCTCTTGGGAGATGGCTACCTCAGCTTGTAGAGGCCTCCCGCGCCTTACACAGGGTGTTTGGTAAATGCATGTCAGACTCACCGACGGGAAGCTAACGGACACAGTTGGTTAGATTTATTTTTGGTGTTGTTCATTTAAGTGTTAGACAATATTTCTTAATTTTTAAATTTTATTTTAGTTATATCTTGTTGATTTTTCATGTAATTATATAATCTAAAATCTTCAATTTTTTCCCATCACAATATTAGATAAACTTTTAACTTCTCTTCTGCTTGCTTTGTATCTAAGTCCTACCACTCTCCTAATTTACCCATTTTTTATTCTTTCCACAGCTCTCCCTATTGTTTGAGTTCAAGTCTCTGTGATATCTTTATGCTATTACCTCTATAAATAATTTTCCAAAGACTACAGTTCATTTTCTGTTGGACACTTAATTTGAAGTCAGGATACTTTGGGTTTGTCAGGCAATATTTAGGTGCCCCTAATTATTTCAGTCCCATGAATCATAGTTTGAAAGGCTCTTAAGAAAAATAATTTTGTATTTCTCTTAACCTCATTCCAGAGAACTATATCGTAACTTCTTCAGAAAGATGAGATCATTTTTTTGTTATATCTCCCAAAAGAGAGATTTTAAACAACTCTTCAAATAAGTCATTAGAATCATATTATACATTTGTTGTAAAACCCTGCCTCTTTATTTGTTATGTTGTCTAACAAGTCTCACACCTCTTTGTTCATTCAGTTGTCTTCATTGGTCCTAACTTACTGTAGGATAAGAAAAGTAACAGATTTTATTTTTTGCCTCTGAGGAGCACTATGAGCAGTAAATGCTTTACAGGCATTATGTGTACAGTTCCATGAGCATTTAAAGAATAGGCATATCAAGAAAGACCATAAAAGGATGATAATGTTTAAACTGGCCCCTTATAGATAAGATTGCATTAAAAGGAGAAGCAGCTTTACATAAAGGGCATTTAGGCAGAGATAACAGCATACGTACAGAAATGACTGGAATTTAAGTGGTTAGAGCTTAGAATACATGGAGGGAAGAGCTGGGTATATAACTGAATAGGAGGAAACATTAGTTAATTTAACAAAAACTATATTGAGTGTTCTGTGACAGGTTCTGGAGAAGAAAAGATATAAAGGGTTCAGACCCAACTCTTTTAAAGTTTGTAACTAAAAAATAATGAGGATGGAGGGAATAGTTGTTAAGAAATATGTAAAAGGCTAGTTTCAGTAGAGTATGGTAAATGCAAGTGGAAGGAGGCACAAAGGAGAAATATTAGTTCATCCTTCCTTAGCAATGCTGAAGAACAAGTAGAAGTTAGCCAAGCAAAGGAGAACAAAGAAAATTGCAAGCAGTGTATGAAGAAAACTTTAAGTATATTGGTAATTCCATGAGATAAAGTCCAAAAATACATGAGTTGGTCTCTGATGGATAAGAATTGAGGGGTTTAAAACAGAGAAGTGACACACTTAGTTTTTTATATTCAGTGCCTAAAATAATTTTATGTAATATGAGAATGGATTTAAGGTCTGAGGTAAGAGAAATAATAAGGGCTTGAAATAGGGCAAGAAAATAGAAATGGAGAAGGAACTAGGGAAAAACTTTTGAGCTGAATTTGAAAAGATGTGATATTGGATGGCTTTTTATTTTTTGTGGCATTTTTTCCCCCTTTTAAGTCTTTCAGTGACAAATTCTCTTAGTTTTTCCTAATTGAAGAATGTCATGATTTCCCTTTCATTCCTGACGGATATTTTTGCTGGATATAGAATTCTGGATTGACAGATTTTTAAGCACTTGAAAAATGTACTGCTTCCTTCCGGCCTCCATGGTTTCTGATGAGAAATCCACTGTCATTTGAATTGGTTTTCCCTAAAAGTAATGTGTCATTTCTTGCTTACTGCTTTCAAGAATTTTTATTTGTCTTTTGTTTTCAGAAGTTTAAACGTTTTATTTTATTTTATTAAAAAACTTTTTTTTCTTTATTGATTTTAGGGAGAGAAGAAGGGAGAGGGAGAGAGAGATAGAAACATCGATGAGAGAGAGTATCGATTGGCTGCCTCCTGCGTGCTCCCCACTGGGGATTTGGCCCACAACCTGACCAGGGATTGAACTGACGACCTCTTGGTGCATGGGTCGACGCTCAGCCTCTGAGCCACACTGGCTGGGCTGTTTTCAGAATTTTAATTATGATGTGTCTTGGCATGGATTTCTTTGTATTCATCTGTTTTGGAGTTCATGCAACTTCTTGAATCTGTAGGTATATGACTTTTCCAAATTTGGGAATTATTTAGCTGTATGTCTTCAAATACTTATTCATTCTGGAACTAAAATGATACGAGTTTTATTGTCCCTCAGATCTCTAAGACTTTCTTGCCCTTTTTCAAGCCCTTATTATTTTGCACCTGTAAGTATTATTTTATTGGCTTCGTAACTGTCTTCTCTACCTCAGGTTCATATTCTTTTAGGATATTTTTTTGTTGTTGTTCAGATTGGGTAAACAATATTGACCTTTTCTCATGTTTATTGATTCTGTTCTCTGTCATCTCCATTGTACTATTGAGTACATTCCAGAAGTTTTATAATTCAATTATTTTTCAGTTCTAAACTTTTCATTTGGTTTTTCTTTATATCCTCTCTTTCTTTGCTGAAATTTTCTAATTTTAGTTTGTTTTGCGCATATTTGTAATTTCGTATCAAAGCATTTTTATTAGGACTGCATTAAAATTTTTGTCTAACATCTAATATATTGTTATCATTTCTTGATTGTCTTTTCTCATCCAGATTGAAATTTTCCTGGATCTTGGTATGGCTAGTAATGTTTTATTGTATGCTGGATATTTTTAGTATTTTGTTATAAAACTTTATATCTTATTTACATCTGTTTTAGCCAGACACCATGCCAGCCACATAGGGATGGAAATCCATGTTTTCTACTTGGCTTCTCTTGACATCCTGAGAGTGAGGTGCTTCATTACTATTTCTAGATGGCCTCCACTGATAGCACAGAGGGGGACCTGGTTATCCCCAAGAAGAAACGAAAACCCTAGCTCCTTAATCAGTCTTCTCTAACACCACCCCAGCGGAAGTTAAAGGTGCTTCATTACATTCAAGCAAGAGTGGAAGTTTAGTCTCCTCTCTTAGTCTTTACTGATCAGGTTGAGGGTGGGGCCACAGATTTTTTTTCCATGATGCTTGCAGGAATAGACTGCTTCTTGTCTTAACATTTTTCTGTCTTAAAAGGCTACCTCTTTCTTGGTTCTTTGGCTAAAGGAAGAAGGATTTACTTGGGGCTTTTTTTGTCTGTGACTCTTGGCATTTCCAGTTCACTAGCTTCTCCAGAACCCAGCCTGGGATACATTGGGCAGGGGGAAAAGCCCGGAAGCTCACTGCTGTATCATTCCTCATGTCTTATAGTTCTAGCCAGTCTCTGTGTTCTCTGTCTTTCAGTGTCTTATACCTATTTTATATATAATATCCAGGGTTTTCATTTAGCTGCACTTGGAAGAATAAGGTGAAGTATATCTACTTTTGGCTTTATTGTTTAAATGTGTATATTACTTTATTTAGCTGCAACATACTAAAATTTTTTTTTTTTAATTTTGTTAGGAAAATCTTGCAGAAATAATATTTGAGTATAACCAGCATAGACTACTTACATGGACTCTGTCAGATTTTTTAGGGATATTCAGAGTGGTAGAAAAACAATATTTTATAGCTATTTCATTTGTGACATATTTGTGTTTTAATCACCTAACGTTTATGATGTGAGTACAATATTGTTTTCATTTGGTTATAGAAATCTGGTAAATTAAGTTATAGAACAACAATTTTTTTTTTCCTGTTTTAATGTGTTCTTTCTGTTTCTTCCAGGGCTGGTGGACTAGGCCTGAATTTTGTTGGTGCCAATGTTGTTGTATTATTTGATCCTACCTGGAATCCAGCCAATGATCTTCAAGCCATTGACAGGTATAATACTGGCAAAATGTAAAGTGACCTGGAAATACTTTTAATCTAAACATTTTTCTGAATTGTTTAGGTTGCTTATCATATGACTGTGATTAGAAGATAGAGAAGACCTTGTAAAAAAAAACCTAAAAACTTCTATTTAAGATAACCATGGATTTCTGAATCCAACTGGCAGGCTGATAATAGCTGTTTATTTTTCATTCATCTCAAAATCCCATTATTATGTCAGAAGAAAGAATAAGTCCATAATAATTTAGGAAAATAGGAAAGGTCTCTACTAGTAGATTAGAAGTTTTGAGGAACTCCTGTAATAGACAAGGAAAACAGAATCTATATGGTCAAGAAACCACAATCCAAAGTTGAAAGGAGAACACAGAGAAAGAAATTAGTATTTTAGAACATAAATAATAACTTGGTTGAGAGAGAAAACATACATAGATACATGTTGGTAATATTTCTAAGTTCCAAAGATAAAGAGAAGGGCTAAAAGATGCTGGAGTAATGCCCTGGCCGGTTTTTCTCAGTGGTTAGAGCATCGGCCTGCAGTCCAGAGAAACCCAGGTTCGGTTCCCGCTAAGGGCACCTGCCTCAGTTGCAGTTTGTCTCCCTGGCCCTGGTTAGGGTCGTGTGGGTGGCAGCCACTTGATGTGTCTCTCTCACATCAATGCTTCTCTCTCTCCCTCCCTCTTTCCTTCCCGCTCTATCTGAAAATAAATGCAAAAAAAAAAAAAAAATGTCTTCAGGTGAGGATTAAAAAAAAAAAAAAGATGCCAGAGTGAGACGGAGGGAAATAAAATTATTTATAAAAACAAAACAAAACAGTTTATCAACAAAGGTACATAAAGCAATTTGTGACATCAATGACATAAAAGTAGGGGACAGAGCCATAAAGGAGGTTTTTTTTAATACATCTGAAGTTAAGTTGGTATCAATTTAAAATAGATTCTTATAACTTTTGGATGTTATATGCAATCTGCACAGTAACCACAACTATGTGGATAATATATACAAAAGCGCATGAGAACAAAATAAAAAGTATGTCACTAAAAAAAACAGGTAAACACAAAGGAAGGTAGTAATGGATGAAATGAAGGACAAAATAGCTATAAGGTATACAGAAAACAAAGTGGCTGAAGTAACTCTTTCCTTATCATTGATTACTTTAAATATAAATGGATTAAACTCCCTGGTCAAGAAACATAGATTGGCAAAATGGATTAAAAACAGTATCCAGCTCTGGCCAGTTTGCTCAGTGGTTAGAGCATCAGCCTGTGGACCAGAGAGTCCCGAGTTCGACTCCTGCTAAGGGTACATACCTCAGTTGCGGTTTGTCCCTGACCCTGGTTGGAGTCATGTGGATGGTGTCCAGTTAATGTGTCTTGCTCACATCGATATTTCTCTCTCTCTCCTCCTCCCTCTCTCCTTCCTGCTCTGTCTGAAAATGAATGCAAAAATGTCCTCAGGTGAGGATAAAAAAAAAATCAGTCTCTTAACTGTATGCTGTTTATAATAAGTCTAAGGACATACATAGGTTGAAATTAAAAGGATTAAAAAATGTATTTCATGTAAAGAGTGACCAAAAAAGAGGAGGGGTGATTACGCTAATATCAGACAAAATAGACTAAGTTGAAACCTGTTACAAGAGACAAATATGGATATTATACAATGAAAAAGTATTCAATTTACCAAGAAGCTATAATAGTTATAAACATAAATTCACCAAACATCTGAACTCCCAAATATAAAAAGCAAACATTGACAGTATTAAAAGAAGAAAGAGCTCCACAATAGTAGCAGGAGACTTCAATATTCCAATTTCAATAATGGATAGAACTTCCTGTCAGATCAATAGGGAAAGAGAGGAGTTTAATAACACTTGGACATATTGGGCCTAATAGACATATATAGAACTGTCCTCATACAGCAACAGCATAATATACATTTTTCTGTGGTACTAAGGGAACGTTTTCCACAATAGATCTATGTTAGGCCACAAAACAAGTCTTAATAAATTTTAAATTATTGAAATTGCATAGTTTCTTTTCTAGTCCCAATAGAATGAAAGTGAAAACAATGGCAGAAGAAACACAAAAAAATTCACAGATATGTTGAAATTAAAAAATACACTCTTGAACAACTAGTGGGTCAAAAAGAAATAAAAAAGGAAATTATCTTGAAAAAATTAAAATACAACATATGGAAACTTATGGGATGTATCAAAAGTAGTGCTAAGGGAAATGTATAGCCGTAAATGCTTACATTAAACCTAACCTAACACCTTAAGGAACTAGAAAAAGAAAAACAAATTAACCTAACCTAACACCTTAAGGAATTAGAAAAAGAAAAACAAACTAAACTCAAAGGTAGCAACAGGAAAGAAATAATAAAGAATAGAGCAGAGATAAACAAAATAGAGACTAAAAAACAATAGGAAAAAATCAACAAAAGCAAGAGTTTTTTCAAGAAGATCAACAAACGACAAACGTTTAGCTAGATAGAAAAAGAAGATTTAAATAACTGAAATCAGAAATGAAAAGAGGGACATTACTGCTTGCTTTACAGAAATAAAAAGAATTATAAGACAGTGCTATTAATAATTATGCACCAAGAAGTTGTATAGCCTGGAGAAATGGATAAATTCTTAGAAACACACAACCTATGAAGACTGACTCATACAGAAATAAAAAAAATATGAATAGATCTACAACTGGTAAAAAGATTCAGTCAGTAATCAAAACTGCCAACAAATAAAAGCCCATTCAAGATGGCTTCACTGATGAATTCAACTAGACATTTAAAGAAGAATTAAGCCCTGGCCAGTTTGGCTCAGCGGTTAGAGCGTCGGCCTGCGGTCCAGAGAGACCCGGGTTCGGTTCCCGCTAAGGGCACGTACTTCGGTTGCAGTTTGTCCCCGGCCCTGGTTGGTCTTGCGGGTGGCAGCCACTCGATGTGTCCCTTCACGTCGATGTTTCTCACTCTCTCTCCCTTCCTCTCTCTCCCTCCCACTCTATCTGTACAAAAAATGGAAAAATATCCTCGGGTGAGGATAAAAAAAAATAAAAAATAAAAAAAAAATAAAATAAAGAAGAATTAATACCACTCTTTTTCAAACTCATCCAAAAATTGAAAGAAGGAATACTTCCTAATTTAGTCTATGAGGCCAACATTACATTCATATGAAAGCCAAAGACCTAAATGCAAAGAAAACTGCTAACTAATATTTCTTATAAAATTTCTTATTATCCTCAACAAACAAAATGCTAGCAAACCAAATTTAACAGCATATTAAAAGAAGATACACTCACCCAGCTGGTGTGGCCAGTGGATTGAATGTTGTCCCATGGACCGAGAGGTCCCAGTTTGATTCCCAGTCAGGGCACGTGCACAAGTTGTAGGCCTGATTGCTAGTGGGGATGTGCAGGAGGCAACTGATCAATGTTGCTCTCTCACATCGATGTTTCTGTCTGTCTCTCCCTTCCTCTCTTTCTAAAAAAATCAATAAAAATATATTTTAAGAAAAAGAAGATACACTGTAACCAACTGGGATTTATTCCTGGTTTGACATGGAAAAATTAATCAGTGTTATATACCAAATTAGCAGAATGAAGGAAAAAATACATGAGCATTTAATTGATGCAGAAAGAGCATCTGAAAAAATTCAACATATTTTTATTATAAAAACACTCAACAAACTAGGGATAGGAGAAAACTATATCAACATAAAGCTCTTTTATGAAAACCCACAGCTGACTTTATAATCAATGGTAAAAGAATGAACACTTTACTCCAAAATCAGGAAGAAGGCAAAGATGCCTGCTTTCATCACTTCTGTTCAACATAGTACTGGAAGTTCTATCCAGAGCAGTTAGGTAAGAAAAAGAAATAAAAGGTATTCAAGGTGGAAAGGAAGAAAAAAAGTGATCTCTGTTCACAGATGACATGATCTTATGTACAGGAAACCCTGAAGATTTCACAGACAAAAAAAAAAAAAAAAAAAAGTTAGAGCTAATAAATTGATTCAGAAAAGTTGTAGATACAAAGTCAACATGCAAAAAACAGTTGTATTTTCATACACTAGCAATGAATAATCTGAAAGGAAGATTAAGGAAACAATTTTACTTAACAATAGCATTAAAAAAAAAAGTAATAAATTTAACCAAAGAAGCTAAAGACTTGTACACTGAAAACTAAACAACAGTGCAGAAAGAAATTAAAGAAGATGCAGATAAATGGAAAAACATCCTGTGTTCATGAATTGGAAGACTTTAATATTATTAAGGTGTCAATTCTGTTCAAAACTGTCTACAAGTTCAGTGCAATTCCTATCAAAATTGCAATGATGTTTTTTGCAGAAAGAAGTAAAAGGTTTTAAGAGACCACTATGAATAATTGTATGCCAACAAATTAGATAGCCTAGATAAAATGGACAAATTCCTAGAAACATACAACCTACCAAGACCAAATCATGAATAGAAAAATCTTAATAGACCTATAATAACAATGGAGATTGAATCAGTAATCAGAAACCTCACAATAAACAAAAGACCAGGACCAGATGGCTTCACTGGTGAATTCTACCAAACATTCAAAAAGAATTAGCATCAGTTTTTCTCAAATTCTTCCAATATATTAAGAGGAAGAAACACTTCCTAACTTATTCTGTAAACTCAGCATTACTTTAATGCCAAATCTAGGCAAAGATACAAGAAAATAAAACTACCAACCAGTATTTCTTATGAATATTTATGCAAAAATCCTTAATAAAATAAGAACAAACTGAATTAAGCAGCCTATTAAGACAATGATACATCATAACCAAGTTTAGTTTCATTCCTAGAATGCTAGGATGGTTCAACATTCTATAAAATCAACCATTGAAATACATCACATTAACATGATCATCTCAATCAATTCAGAGAAGGCTTTTGACAAAATGAACACCCTTTTCATGATTAAAAAAACACTCAACAAACTATGAATAGAAGGAAACTATCTCAACA